GAATGAAGTTGAAATATATACGAAATACGTGTAGCAATTGTTTTCAAATTCGGACAGCCGGAAGTAGAAACATCAGACGTTATAAAAAAAAACGCACACCGTGCCCGGCCATCAGTTATAAGCCGGACAGCTATGAGAAAGATGGAAGTGTCTAGAGGTCTCGTTCGGGGCTATTTGATTTACGACTTCAAAGTGGGCTTATCAGCAGCTGCATCAAGTCGCCTCATATGTCAAGCGTTTGGGGATAGTGCTGTGGATGAACATTCTGCAAGGCGTTGGTTTCGAAAATTCAAGTCGGAAGATTTGCCTCTCCATGATGAGCCTCGCAGTGGACGACCACAGGTCTTGAATGACGGAGTCCTGAAGGCGGCCATTGAAGAAGACAGTAGTCTAACGTGTGGCGAACTTGCAAGACAGGTCAACATTTCCGATGAAACCGTTAGACTTCACCTGCACCGCCTAGGTAAGACGTACAAACTGAGCAAGTGGGTTCCGCAAACGCTGTTGGTGGTCCACAAGGGACAACGAGTGACAGCCTGCGTATCGCTGCTTTCTCGCCACCGTACCGCGTCCTTATTCAATCGAGTGCTTACCAGTGATGAAAAGTGGATTCTGTACGAAACTCCCAAACGTTCCAGACATTGGTTGTCTCTTCAGGATGTTGTCCCTCACGTCACAAGACCGCCTATGCACCCACGCAGGATTATGCTTTGTGTCTGGTGGACAGGTCGTCAAGTGGTTCATTATGAACTGCTACCAACGGGCCAAACGGTCACTGGAGACCTATATTCGCAGCAATTGAAACGTGTGCAACAGGCATTGCGCCAAGAGGAGCCAGCATTGGTGAATCGCAAAGGTGTGCTTTTCCTCCATGACAACACCAGGCCGCATGTCGCGTGAGTGGTCAGGGATACCATACTGCAACTTGGGTGAGAGACTTTGTGCCATCCACCTTATTCACCTGACCTTGCGCCATCCGATTACCACCTCTTCCACTCCCTGGATAATCATCTTCGTGGGAAATCCTTCACCAATGAAGCAGACTTTGCGCAAAGCTCTCACGGACTTCTTTGCGTCAAACCCCCCTAGATCTACCGCAAGGGTATTGAATAACTGGAGACACGTTGGCAGAAGGTGCTGCATGCCGATGGCGACTACTTCAAAGACTAAATATAAGTTACACTTACTGTGAAGCGTTTTCTTTTTTTTCCTTTAAAAACGGGCAGAACGTTTTTGGTTACCTTGTAAAAAAAATCTATTCCAAAACAGTATTCTCATAATTCATAACTGAACTTCTTTTTATGCAAACATTTCACCCCTAGCAAGGTGATAAGGTCACTAAGATTCAAGGGGACACAGTAAGTGAAAGAAAACGAGAAAACATTCCTGAGGAGAAAGGACAATAAACGAACAGGATTCAGAAAGTCGGAAGCTAGGGATCGACGTTGCATTTACATTATTGAACAGCGTAGATAGCACGGAAGTGAGAGAGAAGAAACAATTTGAATAGAACTTACGGTTATATCTAAGATTTTCAACGGTAAAACGATGATAAATAATTAGTACGCTTGAATTCCAAGGAAGGAAGCACATCAGAATAAGTTCCATGAAATTGCTAAATGTGAAAAAATAAGAGAAAGAAAAAATAATATTGATCGAGAAAAATAAAAGAATAATCAAGGCCACATTAGATAACGATTAAGATTGCATTAAACGTTTTGAAGATCAAAGATATATATATATATATATATATATATATATATATATATATATATATACACGCACACACACGCACACACAGAGGGTGCATCAAAAATACTTTTACAAACATTGGAGGCTACTTCCTCACATAAAACAAAAAGTTCCATGAAATTGCTAATTGTGAAAGAATAAGAGAAATGAAAAATAATAACGACCGAGAAAAATAAAAGAATAATCAAGACGACAGTAGATAATGATTAAGATTACATTAAACGTTTTGAAGATCAAATATATATATATATATATATATACAGGGTGTATCAAAAATACTTTTACAAACATTGGAGGCGAGTTCCTCACATAAAACAAAACTGTGCATACAAACATATGTTAACAAATCCTTCGTGTTTAAATTATTAAGTTTAAAGAAAGTTTACCGTAGATGGCGTTGTGTTGTCATGTAGATGAGGTTATATTTGTCATTTATGTACATTAGTGGCTAGTCTGTCTTCAACGTTTAGGGTTTGTTGCAGTGAGTTAACTGAGAAGTTGTTATGATATTGATTTGGGGTTAGTAGAGACAAACGCCAAATAACATGTAACAATAAAAAGGGTTTTAATAGGTTGGTAAAAAGGTACAGAAATCGCCTGAGTAGTCACTAACTAGCTCAAGTAAGAACTTCTCTGTCTATCTGTCTTCTGACATGCCACTATTTAAAGTCTTTGTTCGCAGACAAGTTCATCTTCAAGAAGGGTGGTAGGTTTCCGACACAACAGAAGTGTTCCGTTTAAAAATGCCAGGATATTCGTATGGTGATCATGCAGATATGATTTCTACATACGGCCACGCGAATGGTAATGGACGCGAGACTGCACGGCTGCATCAGGTTGAGTTTCCAGACCGGAGGCAACTGAGACACGCTTTATGGCACCAAAAACTTTGGATCAAAGAAAACTGAGATCCGCTCATCCGCTTGGCCACGAAAAACACATGTCGTACATTTCATAGTACCTCATGGAGTGTAATCTTCTGTATCCATATTATTTGCAACGTGTGCAGATTCTTTCGCCATCTGATCGCTCACTACAGGAGAACTTTTATCGGTGGTTTATTGCATGAACTGACGATCGGTTGTTTGTCTCTTCAGTCATTTTTTACGGATGAGGCAACGTTTGGGAGAGATGGAACAACAAATTTACACAATCAACATTTGTGGAGGGATCGGGATCCCTATGGTACAATACAGGCTGGATGCCAACATCAATTTACGATTAACGTGTGGGCTGGAATTGTAGGTGACTGTCTGGTACGTCTATACGTTCTCCCAGCACGTCTTACAAGAGCTGTCTACCGGGACTTTATTTCAAACATACTTCCAGACCTGCTAGACGATGTACCGCTGCTAATACGAAGAGGCATATAGGACATGCATCATAGGGCTTCATCAAATTTTAATATCATTATTCGTGATGCAATAGCTGACATCTACCATGAAAAATGAATAGGTAAGGGAAGACGGTTCCATGACCTGTACCCCCACCATAATCGTTTGGTTTTTCATCTGTAGCGCTATCTAAAACAATTGTTTTATGCAGCAGACATTAAAAATGCAGCGATGTTTCATCAAGGTGTCATGGTACCTGCGAAACATTCTACATTCTTTCATGTGGAAGTATTTGAAAGGGTCCGCCAACGGGTGCATGCGCGTGTAAATGCAAGCGAAGAACATATTGAACATTTTTATAGGTTGCTGTATTGAGGTACAACGATGGCTTTTTGGATATATATTTATGTGGACATTTAACCTTCTGTCAAGAACTCACCTCAAAAGTTTGTAAAAACATGTTTGCATTGTATCTTGGATTTAACAGCGTCTACCTTAAAATTTAATTTGAATAACTCAAAAACGATGGATTTGCGGCCGTATGTTTATATGGACTTTTGTTCTTGTTTTGGTGTGAGGAACTCACTCCCAAAATTTGTAAAAGTATTTTGATACACCCTATACGCACACAACCACACCCACAAACATATATATATATATATATATATATATATATATATATATATATATAATATGTGTGTTTTGTATATATATATATATATATATATATATATATATATATATATATGTGTTTTTTATATATATATATATATATATATATATATATATATATATATATATAGGAAAATGTTCTTTTATCTACCAGAACAATGTTTGAAAAATTAATGACAAAGTGTGAAATGATCAGGCTAAAAGTGATGTTTACTATATATATATATATATATATATATATATATATATAGTGGCTTTAGTTTTTCTTTACTTTCTGATTTACATTTGTAGCCATCTTTTTTTAATCATTTCACCCCAAGCAAGATAATAATGTGACGATATTCAGTCACCCCCCCCCACGAAGGTGTCATGTGGCACAAGGCCTTTTTAACGTGGGCATTGCGAGTCCGTGGGCTCGGCCAAAAATATGCCCATTGAACCCGTATAAACGGGTATAGGGCCGGTCTACCTCCCCGAAGGAGACTCTGCCCTTCGGCGTAGCCTCCTTCGGGTTCCTCCCGTCCGTAGGAAGAGAGTTCAACCGAACAGTCGCTCAGAAAGTACTGGGTCGACTGACTGATTAATAATAATAAGATAATAATGTGACTAAGACGCGAAGGATTAGTGGAAGAGAATGAGAAGAATAGGATTCTGGAAGAGAGTAGATTGCGAGGGACGTTGCATTTAAATTTTTTAAGATTTTTATGTAGTAGAGTGGCAAGAAAATTCGAACGCCGATGTCTTCCTCCTTTCCTCAAAACATTGCACCGCATTCATAGGTGTTCTTTTACGACTAAGTTGTGAGTTTGATCCTCACTAAGTGTTCAAACACTTTTAGCCTTTTGCCATACCTAAGCTAGGCTTAGAAAATCATTTTAAGGGCATTTCGACCGTGGTGTAATGGTGAGCAAGCTTGTCTCGCTCGTCAATTTCGACGTAATAGTGAGTTCGATACTCAATAGGTTACCCATACACTCGGCCTTGTGTCATATCTAAGCTACGCTTATAAAAACACAATCTATAGATGACTTATTGATAATTTTATATTCACTAAAAATAAAAAGCAGAAAACGTCAATGATTTTACGCATCTTAAATAAATTCATCAATGTCAGAATCCTTTGTGCAAATTGTTCATTCTATTCTTTGACGAAAAAGCTCAAAATCGTTAGAATGAATCATTGCAAATAACATTAGTATCCGGTTTTTTTTTTTTTAGTTAACCTCATGAGTTTGAAAGAATCTAAACAATCTTGAAGGTCAAAAACAACCGGAAAAAGACATCCGAAAAGAATTGGACATCTCGTAAAAATAAACCTAAAGCAAATAGAGGCAAATGGATTTCTTTCGAAGAGGTTCTTTTTGGTACAGTGCGGCATAAGAAAGCAAGGAGGAGAAAATCATGGCGCCTGGATATACGAATATAAATAGTATGGCGCAACATTAATGTCAATTCCGCTTACACAAACATAAAAATTGTTAATTGGTCAAATTGAAGCGATTGGCGATTGGTCGGTAAAAACACTGATCTAGATACAACAGGTTGCTAAGCAATAACTTTGCAAGGTACAGCAATGATTTTTACTGTTTATTTATAGAACTATAGATTTATGAGAGATATCGAGGGGAAGAGTCCAGGCTAAGTGTAATGGCTGGGAAATGAATGAGAGTTAGGGGAAGAGGAATAAAAAGGTGCGGAGGGCGGGAAAGCGGATATGTCTCTGGTGAAGGATCCCGGACCAACCAATAAAGATGGATCAATGTGGCACACTGTATCCAAGGGCTATTTTCGGTATGAGGATGAAGGAATCGAGAAACATAGTGCTAGGTCTAAAGTCGGTATGCAGGCGCCAGGGTTGTTGTCGTTTAGCACGAAATCACCAAAATACATCCAAGTAGTTAAGCAGAAATTACTCACAAAATACGAACAGACAAGGCATAAACAGTCACAAAGACGTTTTCGTTAAGCAACCAAACAAGGAGAAGAAAAAAAAACAGATTTAAGCGAGACCTAAGCGTATTTGTAATTTGGCTCGATAAATACATGAACAGAAATGAACAAGCTATAAATTAATGAGTTTTAAGAGACATAAAAACAAAAAAAATATAAGTTGATTATGAATAAACTGAAACAAACAATATTTACACGTGTATATAAATACATTTGTGTATGGGTGTATATTTGTACTAGTAACGAGAACGATTTAAAAGAAAATACGATTTCCAAGAAAACTAACAATCAGAAGGAGACAGGTTAGAACGAAGAAAAGAGTCCTATGCTGCTATAAAACATCTAATCTCCTAGATGGCAATAAATACTGGAAAATCAAATATTAGCAAGAGACTTAAAGTAACTGCGGTGTGGTTCTGCTGACAAAAGTTAATACTATGGATAGGTCATGTGGGAAGCGAGAAAATTGTAAAGAAAAATTGTAAAGACAAGTAGTCAGATAGTTATAATGAAAAGGAGACAACGGAAATGCCTGTAACAAATAATGGGGAAAGACAGCCTAGAAAATTTAGCACACACTGTACATAGTAAAATAAAATAGGGCAGAATTAATCTCAACTTCACCAACCGCGTTGCGAATGAATCCGAAATTTTACTGTTGATAATTCCAAAACGGTAGATTTTATCAAAATTTCTTTGTTATTTCCGAATGAATCATGTACATTTACACCTAAATGTAAGTATTCGGGAAATTTTTATTACAAACCAAGCGCGGGTCTTAATGTGTAATTTAACCAAAAAAAGATGTATACACAAGAGCACAGGTAAGGTATATAAGATAAGAAAATTGAAAGATATTCTGCGGTAAAGGTAGTTTAACACATCGCAAGTCGATACATTCACTGAGAAACCAAAAACATTTTCATGAAAAACATTGTCAAACGTTGAGTTTAATTCATGGCGCCGAACTCGTTCAGAAATAACTAAAACGTCAGGTACTAACAATCACTTTCTTAGATCAATGGTTAAAAATAGCTTCGAGCGAATGGAGCTGGTAAGTCTTATCGTCGACAGTTTTGTTTATCATGTCCATCCCAAGCAATCAGATAATGCCTCTAGGACGCAAGGGGTTTACAGGTTTACTGATCGATATACTACCCTTGTGAAAAAGTATGAATCCTATTCTTCTCCCCACCCAGCTATGGGTAAAATAGCAGGATAGACCGGGTTCTTGGATGGCAACTGGTCTACCGCAGAAAGAAATGAAAAAAAAACTGCCTCGTCAGTCATGTATCGAAAGATACATGATCAGCTAAGTATTACGCATACCACATAATTGACTGACTGGTTCTACTATGTATCATATTCCCAATTTTTATTAGAAACTGAGCGCGGGTCTTGAACTGCAAATTTCCCTTTTGAGGTTCCGAGTTGAAATTAGTTCTGTCACCCAAATAAAGAGAAGCAGATGAAAACAGAGAGTAAACTAAGGATTTTGTGCGAATGAACGACCAAACAAAACCAAAGAGGGTTGATAATAGGTCAAAGATTATCTAGATTAGCAAAGATAGAAAATTAGATAGCCAGTTATTTGGTTGCGGCCTCTGTCTATAGACTTTTCAGTATTCATCAGCAAAGCCCCGCCTCTCTGTCGTTTCAAGTCTCTTCTTCAACGGCAAGATTGGCCAGCATTCACTGCCATACAATGCCAGGCTACACGTTTTTTTTAGCACATCCCTCTGTTAAAACAGCCGACCAATCCTTGTTGTAGACACCTGCTAAAGCACGTGGATGTTTGCTCAACAACCACAGAGCCCAATAGGCCAACTATGCTGAACGGACAACGAAAAGATCTGATTTACCTGGCGTGATAAGCTGGTACGCTAAAACCCTTGGTCACGATAACTTGTTCTGTCTACTCAATTTCATTGCCAAGGCTTGGGTCAAGTCGGAGTATGTTTTTTTTTCAGGGAATGGGACGTCCCGGCGTAGCACATTTGACGTCGATGATTCGGCGGGGCAGATTCGGCGGGGCAGATTCGACAGAGGAATTTTTCTATAGATAGGACGATTAGGCATCAGATTACTACTTTGTCGTTATTGTCAAATTTGCTCTCTCTCTCTCTCTCTTGTTTAGTACTTCGTCGTCGTATGCTCGAAGAGTCCAATTTAAGAAAAAGAGTAGTTGGAAGTATTTTTATATTATATTTCCTTCGGCTAAATCTTTAATTTACATTATTTCATTCGTGTTTTAATAGGATCCTTAATTCCCTAAATGAATAAAAAGTCATATTGTAAGTTGGATGTTGTCTATACTTCTTTTTTCGAGGTGGTGGGGGCCCTCCAGTCAAAGACAGTGGGGTTGAAACAGTCTGACGCCTAAGCGGTTGTGCCACATAGTCCAAATATTTTTCTGACGCCGAATCGTCGATACCAAATGAGCTACGCTGAAACGTACCAAACCCCTTTTTTTTTTCAGGCACTTTCAAAAAGTGTCTCACACTGGAATAGCCACCACGGACCGATAATGTCAAGAACTCAACTTCATGACAAATCGACCGACATTTGAATCTGGGTCTTACGGTCTGAAAGCAAACGTTATAAACGAACTGGTTTGCTACCATATAGTAGTTCTAGCCTTTCTTTAGAACGAAATTTTCCCATCACTCAATACCTTGCTTAGTTTATAGAAAGCATCTTCCGCTATTTAAATGCGTCTTCTAATTTTCAGTGTCACATTTCTTTTATGATTCATATTATTAAACTAATCATAAACACTTAACAGAAAATGCTCACATGACTATAACTTGTGTATATATCTTTAATATTTTTTTAATATTATTTATATTTATTAAATATTTTTTTTATCTTTAATATTTTTAGTATGTACAATATTTTTGAACATACGTGATGTTGTTGCATTTACACTATAAAATTGTATAAAATTTTTACTGTCACGTTCATGACGTTTCTGTCGTTGTACGCTCCGGACTTCCTCAGTTGATATTTGTTAGAATTTCAACCCGAATACTTTATTTAGTCCACAAAAAATCGGATCTAATATAGATATATTATTGTGTGCGTATAGATGAGGGGAACACATACTTATATATGCATACAACTATTATAATATATATATATATATATATATATACATATATATATATATTATAATATTTGTATGCATATATGTATAAAATTTACATTTAAAAAATCTACAGTATTTATGCACGTATCTATACAGGATGCGATAGATAAATTGTCGTCTAAATTAAGCAAAAAGGAAAATAACACTAACATCTCATTTTAAATTTTAATTTTAAAATTACACACAAATATCTTGAAATACTAAAGAGTAAATTTATTCAATAAAATATCCATTCAATAAAATAACCACGACCTGTTGACAACTTCAGAATCTCTGCAACTCTTCTGGGCGGCCTTATTGCTTAAGTTGGTGAATGCTGACATAATCCTTGCTTTCTATTCATCATTGGTGTTACAATGAGTTTTGTTGGTCTCTCGCTAAACTACGCACCTCACATAATAATCATGGGGGGGTGCATTCTGAGGAGTTAGGTGGCCAGATGTCAGGGGTGATGTGGTCGCATAAATTGTCTGACAGCCATAACTGGGTTCTCCTGCTTGTGTGGAATGCTGCAGTCCTGTTGAGATACATGATATTCCAGCATCATCCTCTTAGCCTAGGACAGTACTACCTCCTCAAAGCACTTGATGTAGGCATCGGTGTTGAGTCTGAGGCCCTGGGGAAAGATGAATATAGAGGCATAACGTCGCAGTCACTAGCGATCACTCCAAACAAAAATGTTGATTCGATATATGATCGAACTCTCCCAATCTTCAGACACTCTGAAACGTTCGTATTGGAGTTTCCGGTGCGAATGCCAAGCAGTACAGCAAGACGTTTCCAAATTTGTGACGGATTGAATTGAGTCATGTTTTTTTTTTCTTGCAGATAGTACCCAACTGACCCTACTATACTCTGTAGTCGACAAAATCAAAAATAATCAGCATGAAAAACAAAATATAAATCGGCGACAATTTACCCATAGCATCCACTATATATATATATATATATATATATATATATATATAATTGGGCATGTATATTATACATGTATGTACAATATCTGTCTATATTTCTGAGACGAGGTATTGTAATTATTTACACTATTTACATTGTTCCGAATGTTGTCCCAATCTTTGTTTCCTATATTCATTATGTTTCGGCAGTTGTACACTGCGGCCTTCTTCAGGTGATTGGAATTTCGAACTGAACTCTTTATTTCGTTCATTGTTGCTATACACATAATTAATCTTATTTAGCGTTAGTTGCATTTCTAGAGCGCTTCAAAATTTTAATTTTTTGTTTTTTATTTTCATGGTGGAGTATACTTGTATTGTGAATTGAGATTTCTCTAAAACGGGAATGTGGACAGGAATGTTCATTTTTTGTCTTAGAAATTCAACCCTGAAAATGATCTTGGATGAGACTAAAAGTACTCGGGAAAATAAAAGAAATATCCAAAATTAAGGCATCTTATTCAGTTTTGTAAAAACACTAAGAATTTGATCCGTGAATTTGACAGGACTAAAATAAAAGTAGACATAATATTTTGTAGGTACACTAACTAAATACACACACACGCACACGCACGCGCGCGCGCGCACACACACACACACACACACATATATAGATAGATAGACAGATAGATAGATAGATAGATAGATAGATAGATAGATAGATAGATGATCGAACTCTCCCAATCTTCAGACACTCTGAAACGTTCGTATTGGAGTTTCCGGTGCGAATGCCAAGCAGTACAACAAGACGTTTCCAAATTTGTGACGGATTGAATTGAGTCATGTTTTTTTTTCTTGCAGATAGTACCCAACTGACCCTACTATACTCTGTAGTCGACAAAATCAAAAATAATCAGCATGAAAAACAAAATATAAATCGGCGACAATTTACCCATAGCATCCACTATATATATATATATATATATATATATATATATATATATATATATATATATATATATATATATAATTGGGCATGTATATTATACATGTATGTACAATATCTGTCTATATTTCTGAGACGAGGTATTGTAATTATTTACACTATTTACATTGTTCCGAATGTTGTCAGGTCAGCCAACGATTTGATAGAAATTTAATGTATATGAAATATCAGGTCATCCCATAAGTTCTGTCCGAATTTTAACCATTTGTTAAAATGAACGAAATTTAAAGAGTATTTTATTTCTAATGAAGCTGAACATTATTTTTATGTTTAGATGCATTTAAACTGATCAAATTTTATTTCAGAGAACAATAAAATTAAATTTTGTTTGATTAAAACCTTGATGGCATGGATGTACCCAAGAATCATTTGAGGCACATAATGCTTTATGAGTTCAAGAAAGGAAAATCAGCAGCCGAAGCGGCTAGAAACATTCACTCAGTTTATGGAGAGGAATGTGTGAATGAAAGAACTTGCAGAAGATGGTTTGCAAAATTCAGAGGTGGAGATTTCACCCTTGAAGATGAAGATCGAACCGGACGTCCAGTTGAGTTTGATGGAAAGCTTCTTGAAGCAGCCCTTGAAGAAAAACCTGCTTTATCAGTTGAGGAATTGGCAGTGGTTCCCAGTTCAAACCATACAACTGTTCATCGTCATCTTCAACAACTTGGAAAAGTTCCTAAAGTTGGAAAATGGGTGCCTCATGAATTGTCTGAAAACAACCTCATATCCCGTGTTGACATCTGGTCTTCTCTCCATTCTCGCCAACTATTTTCACCTTTTTTAGATAGACTTGTGACTGGCGACGAAAAATGGATCTTTTATCGAAATGTTAAGCGTCGTAGACAGTGGCTTGGTAAAGGAGAAGGACCCCAGCCTCAGCCGAGAAGGGAACTTCATGGGCAAAAGGTTCTTCTTTCAATCTGGTGGGATCGCCAAGGAATAATCCACTTTGAATTCTTACCACTTAATGCAACAATTAATGCTCAAATATACTGTCAGCAATTAGAGCGTTTGAACCAAGCTTTGAGGAAAAAAGACCTGCTCTAGTGAATCGAAAAGAGGTGATATTTCATCAGGAGAATGCGCGACCCCCACACAGCAAGAATCACGTCTCAAAAGATCGAAGAACTTGGTTGGGAGAAAATTCCTCATCCACCTTATTCTCCCGATCTTGCTCCTTCAGACTACCATTTGTTTCGTGGCTTACAGAATCATTTGGAAGAAACAGCTTTTGTAACACAGGAAGAGGTTAAAACTGACATTTGTGAGTTCTTTGAATCAAAGCTAAAAGAATTTTACAGTAATGGAATTAGTAAGCTTTTTAATAGATGGAAGGAAGTCATAGATAATCAGGGAAAATACATTGTTGATTGAATCTGTAATTAAATGTAACATTTGGTCACTTGTTTTCTTTATTCATGACTGATTCTTAACTTTCGTTTTCCCCTTACTTTGAACTTAGGGTATTCCGATTGGTTCAGCTGAATAGAAACAAAAAAAATCCTGCAACCATCTCCTCTCTTTTCTTTCTTACTCTTTTTCTTATTCTTCCTTTTCTCGTGAAAAGAGGTCGTATCAACCAATTGTCAGCTCACCAGTATATATATATATATATATATATATATATATATATATATATATACTAATGATACAATATGGTAATCCGTATGGAATTTCTAGAGAATATAGATCCAGGGAGAGCTCTATGTCAAAAGACAGAGTAAAATTATTATTAACTAGCAGTAGAGCCCGGCGTTGCCCGGGGATGTAACAGTAAGAGATAGATCAAGTATCGACCATCATGAAGACTGAAAAATGAAATTGACAAAGATTATTCTTTAAGGTTGACGGACACGCATGTCTTAATTATTTTTTTTTTTCTTTTTTTTTTACGAATTGGTCAAACCAAACTCAAACAAAAACATTGTTTTCAATCGTTATGACTCTACCGATTGAATAGAATTTTATTATAAACAATTGTCTTGTAAATGGAATTTTTAAAGCATTCTTAATGTAAAAATAAAGAAAAAAGTGTGCGAGACAATAAGAAGCACTAACTGCCAAAAAGAGTGAAGTTTTGTTGAAATCGGTTGAAAAATGTAGGAAATCCGATCCCATGTATAAAGGAACACACACGCACACACACGCGCGCGCACACACACACACACACGCACACACACAAACAACTTGGGTTTTATAATAAGTATAACTCGATATGAGTTGTCCCCCTTTCATTCTGGCAACAGAATCGTGTTTTATCGTGTTTTCAAATTGATTTCGTGCAAAAACAATTGTGTTTTTCCAATTTTTGGCGCTGTCAGAACCACCATAAGGTAATTTTACGTAGTCCTGTGAAGTTTTGTTGAAATCGGTTGAAAAATGTAGGAAATCCGATCCAATATATAAACATACAGACACACACACAATCTGCGTTTTATAATAAGTAAGATTAAAGAATAAAAATACTTAAAAATCCCATCGGTAAAATTTTTTATTTCATGAGAGGTCTAAAAAAAACAGCAGCTCTCAGGTCTTGAAGATTGAGAGCTGCCGTTTTAGAGCTCTCATGAAATAAAAATTATTACCTATGTGATTTTAAGTTTTTGATATTCGTTAATTATTATTATTATTAATAATAATGTTTATATATATATATATATATATATATGAGTACTGTCTGGTTGCGGTGGTCTGGTTTAAAATCCATAAAACCCAAATACCTCTGATATAGAAAAGAGGCTGAGAGACACACTTTTAAGTTCTGGACATTGTAGGCGATAAGGCTATCTAATTTAATTTAATTTATGCTTAATACTTATCCTCAGAGCCGCCAAGGCATTTTCCTTGCATCTGGTTTCGTCTTTCTTTCATTCTAACTTGAGGAAGCCAAAGAGAGCAGAAGTTCTGGCGAAACGAATCGTTAATAAATTGTCAGCTTTGTTTTATCATTTTCACTTTTGTTTCGGATACTATTGTAAAGCTTGCGAACGCAGTTGTTATTTTTTTTTTGTTCTTTTTTTTTTCTTTTTGTTCATATGAGTAAATCTTCAAACATGCCACAGACATAAACACGTGATTCATTACACTTTATTTGGTATTCATATAGCAACTACTGCCAAAGACGCCAACGTTCTGTGCAAGAGAATGCAAGACGATAGCAGGATTTAAAAAGCACATCCGGGTTACTGACCATATTTGAGAATGAATCCAGCGATGCTATTGGACATATTATATATATTTTTTATGCATGCATCATGATATTGGTTTGTATGCCTGTGTGTATTTTTCTTTCTGTCTGTGTGCGTGTATGTCCGTTTGTGTTTTGTTTGCGCTATTGAGTATATTTGCACGCAAATATGTGTGTAGTCTTGTGGAGAGTGCGTGTGTGTTTGTACGTTTATATTTGTTTGTCTGGATTCGTAAGAGCACCAGATAATTTGTGCCCACTCTAAGAAAATTAGTTTTGACTTGGATGGCGTTAAGAAAATTAACATGTGTTAATTAACAAGTGCTAGACAATTATTATCGCCCGAATCTATGTCCATAGCTTTACAAGTCTACCATTTGTCAACGCACTGGATATTGCTGGCACATCAACTCTGCTATTTACATTTAGAGATTGTTGATAAAAATAAAAAAAAGAATCTGCAATGTTATCGGTCCTGACCTGGCATCTTGGTTTCGGTCAATTTCCCACTGCCATAACGTAACTTCCGTTTATCTTTTCCATAAATATCTCCATGGTAATTGTTCTAAAGAGATTTCCTTTTTGTTATCTGCGTATTGAAAGAATACACTGAATTAATTACTGTGATTACATTTTTTGAATTTTAAAAATTATATTTAGAATTTAAAATAAACGGGACTGGCATATATATGTAAGAAAAAATTGCTGTCCTCTTAGGTGAGGGATAATATGTATAGCACTGTTTTATTCAGACCAGCGCGATATATTATCGCACACATGTGCAATATATTATAATTACACACACACGCACACACACGCACACACACATATATATATATATATATATATATATATATATATATATATATATATATATATATATATATATATATGAATAAATCTTAAAGACCAGGAACAACCTACTTCAGAGTAAGGCACTGGACGATTTATTTCGCCCTGTTTGGATGTTCCCAATGCTTCCTGTTTTTTCAATATTTTTCCTCAGGTACCAATTTCTTTTGATAGACTTACAAGTTGTGCAATCCGAGGTTTTTTTTTACAACCAAGTATTACTAGTAGTTCAATAATTAATTATATATATATATATATATATATATATATATATATATATATATATATATATATATAAATAATAATGTCATTAGAATCCACTGACACGCAGGAGTCATTATATATTTAACCGTGTACTTTCTACGTGTTTGAATATCAGACTTTGTTTAGATAAACCAAGACACAAATTGAACCTTTCTTATGGAATAGTCATTGTCACCCAATAGTTTAACTGCTGTCTGAAACATAAAATCATAACATTAATAAATCTCGTTAAAAGAACTTTAATAATAACATATTAATATGCAACAAATTAAGGCTTTCATTTTGCAACAAGTATTTATAAATATAATTTACCTCGACTTTTAAGTCAGCCTGATATATCTTTAAGATTGTCTCTTATATTTAAAAAAAATTGTATAAAGTAAGCTCATTCTACTTTTGTTTCAATCAGAATCAGACACAAGGTCTTTTTTTTATGTGCGATGCTGATGTATATATATATATATATATGTGCCAAGGAGAAAAGTTGTCCTGTTCCCGCGATCACTGTCAATACTGGTGTCGAAATTACACCGACCTGACGTCTCTTAAGGCAATGAAAAAAGGGGGCACCGAAAAGTTGGTATCCCCGGAACACGCCGCTTTCTCCCATATCAGATGAGAAGAGAATAGATTTGGTATTTTCTCGTCCTCACATGGTGACATGATATGGTCTAAAGGCCGGTTTAAAGTCGGGTGCCTACGCGTGTGCACATGAGCTGAGACCAAAAACTGCCCCACAACAAACATAGCGCTTGCGTCGATATTACACCGACCCTCCTTCTTTGATGAAATGTGGGGAGCTGCCTCAGGTTGGGCATCCCTGGGATCAGAAATCCCTCATATTTCTTTGTTGTGTTCTGTCAGATGACAGAAACACAATTGAAAGATAAAATGTAATTTATTCGCCCGAACACAGATGCTATACTTGCTATTGTTTGGGCACATCGACGTGGTGTAATGGTTAGGCAAACTTGCTTCGCTAGATCTATTATGACTGAGTAGTGAGTTCGATCGTCACTGGGTGCCCCACACTTTCAGCCGTGTGCCACATCTAAGCTACACTTAGAAAAATCATTTTGGGCACCTCGAGGCGGTGTAATGATTAGTATTGTGGAGCCCTACCCCATTGTACACAAGATGGACTCGTCCAAAGTATACTTATACTACGGAGAGATAGCGTGAGGAAAACATCGAGACCGGGTGTTCACCCAGAGTTATACGAGAGTCCAGAAAGAGAGATAATTACGGCTTCACTTACAGAGACTTGTACATATACTTTTCTACTAACCCGCATTCCTGGACTACTAATCTTCATTCTAACTTTGTATTCTTACGTTTAATACACATATTTTTCTATTTCAATTACAGGCGTTGTTTATTTATTTGTGCAGGATTCCATCCCCGGCATCCACAACAATTAGCAAGCTCGCTTTGCTACAACAGTTACGACTGCGTAGTAAATTCGATCCTCACTGGGTGTCCCATACTTTCGGCTTTCTGCCACATCAAAGCTAAGCTTGGAAAATCACTATATTTGCTGTTTTCGTCGAACCAGGTTGATGGGATATGGTACACGGCGGGTTTAAAGTG